TGCGTGTGGTGTGTGTGTCTGAAGAATGAAAATTCAGTAAAGTGTGTTCATGGTAACATCTCCCTCGTGCAAAAGAATCGCCATTTCATGTAATTTTCTTTAAGGCAGGGAATGGGTTTCAAGCTATGTTTCCCTTAATGCTTTTCTTCCCACCCGTTTCCCACCGTGAGAGCAGAGCAGGGATTCAGAAAGGCAGCCAGCCCGTCCTCTTCTGAGCCCCCGCCCACAGCGGCCCCCACAGCGGCCAGGGTCTGCGGCGGAGCCGTAAAGCCCCATGGAATGTTCCCAGCAGGCGGATTTCAGCGGCCATCAGTGCTGGCCTGCAAAGGCCCAAATACCTTTCGATAAACTGACGTTGGGAACTTGGTATCTTCAAACATTTCTGTCTTTGGTGAAAATATTTCAAATCCAAGCTCATCTTAAGAGCTAATCTCTCCCACAGCTGCTGCTATGAGATAAGGCCGGCTGTGCAGAGAGGCGCTGTCTGCAGCCTGCAGCGAGGCTCAGCCTGGGAACGCCGCGGGGGCGGCAGGCGGGCCTGGCTGGCCGGCGGGCCTGGGCCTCAGAGGCCTTCGCATCCGCGCTGGGAAGCCCAGTCCTGCCAGCAGTGGGTGACATCGGGGGAATTCTAATTTTTGAATTCTTGAGATTCTGGCTACCTTCAAAATGACAAAAACACACGTTAGCTGAGTTTGTAAGCACTGTTTAAGGCAGAAACATGGAGAAAGGGGGTCTACTCACACTCAGAGCTCTGGTGGTGAGCAGGCCCTGAGTCCTGCCTCAGCTGTGCCTCTGTGGGCGGCTGACCGCTCTACGCAGCCCCCCAGCTCCGCCTCTGCAGGGACCAGCCGCTCGGGCGCCCGCTGCGCCCTCTGGGGGCCGGGGCGTCCTGGGTGGTAGCTCCTCATGGACCAGGAACCATCTGGAAGAAAGCCCCTTTGGGGGAAACAGCAGCCGTCTGTGTTTAGAGCTGCAGCCAGAGGGCCTGGGCAGGGGGCAGTGTCCTGCCTACCAGACGCTGCCCATGGTTTATAGCTGTGACTGAACCCATCGGTGCCATGTTCACGGTCCCCAGAAATGTGTGGGGCCTTCCCTGAGCTGCCTCCCTGCCCCCCCCGGGGGGGTAACCGCATCCCACAGGTTGCCTTTCGTCAGCAGCGCCCTGGCCCACCTCCCTGCACCGGCAGACCCGGGCGGGGAAAGGGCAGAGGCACCCCTCTCCTTGGCTGCTCGAGGCAGGTCCGGCCACAAGGGTCCCAGGACCTGGGGCTGAGGTCACTCTGCTGTCGGGTTCCCGGGGACTTTGAGGGGTTGTGACGTCAGAGAGCCGAGAAGAAGGCATTGCCCACGAGACCTGCCAGGAGGGACAGGTGTCGTTGGCAGTCCATGTGCGGGCTGGAGAAGAATGTCCGGACACAGAGCATTTCAAAAAGGAGGGAGGCGATCGAGAGCAGAGAGCAGAGTCCATGTGAGCTCTGCGAGTGCAGAGGGCCAACCTCCCATTGGCCAGGGAGAGCACCCTGCGGGTTAGCAGCCAACTTTTATAGCCTCGAGATGAAGAAAGTTCCTGCTGGAATGCTGGCATCAGGTGATTGGTTAGGGTGCTATTTGGGGATGGGCATTCTTGCCTAACTGGGATCAGGAAGCCTGCTGGTGATGGTCGGGGGGCTTCTGGCAACAATCACAGAGGGACTCAGTCAGCCCCAGAGATGACCTTGGTTCTGGGCTCTGCTGCTGTGGCCGCGGCCTCAAGGCAAGGCCTCGGCCCTGTGGCCTTGGGGCAGGATTCCACAACAGGCACAAGACCTCAAGCCAGTCTTTGCATTGGAATGACCGGCAGAGCCTCGGGTGGCGACAGACGACAGACGCGCCACGGGGTGAAGCGCTTGTCTGACGAGACCCACCGGTCTCAAGATGCTGTCGGCTCACACGTCACCCGTTTTCTGAGGATGCAGGTCAGAGTCTGGTTCGCTGACGGCCACGTGGGTGACCACGGCCCAGGCAAAGCGACTCTTTCTGGTTTTGCCAGCAAGAAGGCGTCATTCGGAAGAGTCTCCCAGAGGCGAAAGATCTGGAGTCACTGGGCCCCTGGGTTTGTCCGCGTGGGGTCAGGTGGGACATTCAGTGCTGCTCAGTAACTGAATGTGGAAGATTTGGATGAGCGTTCCCGGGGGCCTCTCAGCTTCCCCAGACCAGGGACAAGAGGTGGACCCCGACAGCCTTGCCCCCTACACCCACCCGGGGCCCTGGCCACGCCCAGCTCCAGTCAGCCGTGGGCACGTCTCTGTTTCATGGGATGTGGGCGCACACCTCCCGGTACCCTGAGCTACAGCCAGCCGGTGGGTGTGTATCCTTTTGGTCTTCTCTCTCCGTGAGGTTCAGTGTAAGGAGCTGGTTCATGCAGCTGGTGGAGGGGACGCATCTGAGCTCCGCGGGCAGGGTGGCAGGCTGGCTCTCTGTGTTGCCATCTTGAGGTTGAAGCCTTTCTTTTCTGGGAAACCTCAGTCTTGGCACATCAGGCCTTCGACTGACTGCGTGAGGCCCCCCCCAGAGGGCGGGTGGTCTGCTTTCCTCCAAGTCTCCTGGTTTAACTGCTAATCTCATTGGAAAGCACCTTCAGGGCAACATCTGGACTGGTGTTTGGCCAAGGCCGGGTCGCAGGAACACGCAGAGCGAGCCGTCCCCCTGGGGAGACGAGAGGCTCCTGAAATTGCCTGCCCTCTTCTCCTGAGCCATCAGGGTGCCAGGATGTCCACATCTTGCGACGTCGTCTGTGACGTCACCGGGGCCTGGTGGTGGCTAGAACCTCTCAGCGTAACTGCCCCCATGGTTTCAAAAGTGGGGAGCGTTCGGAAGACATGGAGCAGATCTTTGGGGTCACCCCCCACCCTGCCACTCTGGACAGATGTGCCAAGGTCACGTTCATGCATGGCGTACGCTCTGGGGGAAGCCGATGCCAGGATAGGCACCCCTGGCCTCTTTTCCAAGAGTGCTTTTAGGAACTTGTGGCTCTTTCCTGGTGAGCTCAGTAAGCTCCTGAATTCAGCTGATTAATTAAGGAGAAAGTCACCTTCTGCCCGAGTGGGGTGCAAGGCTGGGGGGCTTCGTGCTGGGAAATACCCTTTTCCCACCAGGGAGGGGGGCGGGTGGCGTGTGCAGAGATGACCACCAGGTGGCACTGTTGCCCCAGCCTTCCCAGGAGCAAAGCTTCGCTGGGTCCCGTGTGCCTTTAGCCCAGGGCTCCAGATGAGGCCGCAGCTTTCCCGCGGGCTCAGCCCTGGTGTTCCGTGTGCAGGACGGGCAGCCCCATGTCGGGACCCACCAGCCCAGCCTCCCTGCCCAATCCCCCTGCCCTCCTGGCTTGTTCCTGTCCTCCCCAGGCTCCTCTGCTGTGAGCCCCAGCAGGGCTCGTGGGCCCTGTTCCCAACCCCAGCCTCCCCCTGGGGTCCAGAGGGGCCTGGGGCAGGAGGGGTGCCCCCTCCAGTCGGCCCCTGCCTTTCCCCCCTCTCCGCCTCTTTCTCCTTCACGGTTGGAAGTGAGAGACTCCCCGGGGCCAGGACACCTGGGCAAGGAGCCTGGAGGGGTCCCGGAGCCTCTGCTGGGAGGCTCTCCATGACTGACCCCCATTTATGCACCAGACGAGCCGCTTGTGGAAGGTGCTGTGTGTGCCCATCTAAGCCTCTCTCCAGCGTGGGGGCTGCAGGATCTGGGGGCTAAGCCCTTGCAGCCCGAGCTGATGAAGGATAGATGAAGGGTGGGGAGGTGGCCCCAGGGACACTCTCGAGGGGCTCCTGCAGCCTCGTGGGCAGGGGCTGCTCCCCCACCCCGAATGTGCTGCCTGTCTCGGGAGCCCCTGCCTCAGATCTGACCCGCAGGAGCTTGTGGGACGAGCTGGGGGCTGACGCGGTCCCGGGGCCGGGGTCCTCCCCGGCTGGAGCGGGTGTGTCAGATGGGACCAGGCCCCACTGGGGGGGTCACATGACCACAGGCTTACTTTCCTGTCAAAATACAAGAGAAAGAAAGGATCTTTCTAAATCAAGAAGAGACGAGTCCCTTGCTCCCTTGGGGCTTCTGGAGCCCGCGTGTGGGACTGCGATTGGCCAGCAGCACCTGGGACACACGTGAGCCCCGGGGCAGAGCTGCTGGCCTCAGGCTGGGCCGCGGGGCCCCCGCCCACCTCGGCCTCCCTGGGGGCTGAGCCTCTCTGCTGTCCTGGTAAGTGAGTCACGGGACCGCAGGGACCACCGCCGGGGCCTTCCCCCAGCAGTCAAGCATGCCCCGAGTCACGGCGTGCCCTTCTTGATGGCAGTGGGCGTCGGGGACGGCCCCCTCCCTGCACTCCGGAGAAGCTGAACAGGTCCAGGATGGGGGGCTCTCCTGGGAGTCACTGAACTCACCTCCCACTGCCTGGAAGGCGAGCGCCTCACAGGCCCAGTGTGGCTGCCGCTCTCCCGGGCACAGTCAGTAGGGAGCTTCTGTGTGCGGCATGTGGGGCCGGCAGGGCCCCTGCGGAGCCCGCAGAGCCGGGGCGCCACTGCTGGCGGTGTTCGCGGAAAGACAGGTCGTCTGTGTGACTGCAGGCGGACACTGGCCCGTTCTCAGCTCCGTGCGGAAGCCAGAGGCCGCGGCGACCGGGTCAGGAGGGCAGGTGGCCCCAGGGGCGGCCTGTCAGCGTCCTGACCCCACAAGCTGGCTGTCCTGCTCTGAACCCACGCTGGGACCCTGTGCCGTCAGGATTGGAGGGCCCAGCGTGTCTGGAGGGCGACCTCAGGGCCTCCCGGTCCCCACGGGCGGGCCAGGCCCAGCGGGGTGGTGACCTCTGAGCCCAGCGGGGACTCGGAGCCCCGGGGAGCCATCTGTGCCCCCTGTTACCGGGGCCCAGGGGCCGCAGGGTCACTGTGGGATGGGGGCGGAAGCAGGCCTGCCCTGCACCGGATTTGGGTTGAAATCCTGTTGTTCACCTCTTTCCCACAGTTTCCAGCTCTGACAGGCGTGTGACCATGATCTTCTTTTTTTCCAAAACCCAGTCTCAGCACACCGTGAAGGACTCGGGCACAGCTGTACTGGGAGAAGTCCACGCCACGGGGGACGGCGCCTCCTTCAAGGGGGCGTGGGCTGGTCCTCGCTCAGGAAGCGGGCCTCTGGGTGACAAGATGCTGAGCAGGGCTGGGGCTGACGGAGGGGAGGCCCGTCTTCTTCCGCCCGGAGAGATGGGAAGGCCGGGGCTCCTCGCTCTGGAGAGGGGAACAACTGTATCCCTCACACTATGCCCACTGGGGTCCTCCCCCAGCAAAGGAACACGAGAGATGGCTGGTTGTTGGAAAACCTGATGAAAGACAGCTTCTCCACATACACCCACAAAGCATTTGATAAAACCATTCCCTGCAAAGCCCAATGTCAAACAAGGATGCAAAGAAACTGCTTACATGGGGAAAACATCATGTTTCAAAAGCCAGTGGGGAGCAGGACTTGAAAATATGGACCACGTAGCGCTGTGGATCGACCTAGAGTCTGCCGTACAGAGTGAACTCAGAGAAAGAGAAGCAAGATACGGCTGAGGGATCTGGGGATGGCACCGGTGAGCCGACTTAGGGCAGGAGCAGAGATGCAGACTTGGGGAGCGGGTGTGTGGGCCCCGTGGGGAAGAGCTGAGAGGGTAGCCCTGCCATCCGTCCACCGCCGCGTGGGTGGCAGACCGCGGGTGGGCAGCCACTCTAAAGCGCAGGGGCCCCGCTGCGGCCTCGAGGCTGGGACGGGGGCGGGGGTGGGAGGGAGGCTCCGGGGAGGGAGTTTGTGTAAATATCTGGCTGACTCACTTTGTTGTGCGGCAGACACCCAGAAGACATGGCGAAGCCATTATCCGCCAACAAGAAAGAAGGAAACGCGGACGGTGGTTCCCAAACCGCCCGTGTCACCACTGTTGTTTGGGCACTGCTGATGCGGTGGTGCGGGGCCGTGGGGACGAAGATAGGAAAAGCCTCAGGAGAGAAACGCCGTCAGAGAGGCGGGCGGGAGGCAGGTGCCCGCAGACCCGCGTCTGCTGTTGACGATCGCGGGGGAGAGAGGCTGAGCGCATGCTCTGTTCCGGGGGGCCCGGGTCTGAGGGGTCTCTCGCGGTGTGGGGCTTTCTGTGGGGAACCGGGAGAGGCCTGGGCAGAGCTGGTGGGGTTCCCGGCCGTGCCGGACACCCTCCGCCCCCTCCCACAGCTGGGATGATGGATCGGTCTCGTCTGTCATTTTCCACCACGTCGGTACCACTGTTACTGGTTCTTCCGTGTACCTGCTGGCCGTCAGGCTTCCTTTGCTACGTGAATTTCTCATTTACATTATTTTCCACATTTCTGCTAGTCTTTCTGTTCTCGTCTGTTGCATTTGAACTGCAAACATCTCCTGGCTCTTCCAGCCCCCTCTGGACCTTAGTCTTGGTGGGAACATGTCAGCACAGAGATTCGTAAACAAGGAGGCCCACTGCGGCGTCCTGTGCCATGGAAACGGAACAACAGAGCGCAACAAACAATCTGGAAATAATATGATTTTCCACAGCAGAGCGATCGTTTCCTACGTGGTGATACAGCTCAACTAGGGGATATTACGCAACTGCTGAAAAGAAGGGGTTCCATCTACAGCTGTGACCTTAAGATGTTCCTGTTTTAGCAGGAAAAAAAAAAGAGCTCTCCATGTCCACATTAGCACAGAAAGCTGAACAATTATCCCTAAAATACACTCATGTTGATAATGCCAGATTGGAATTAGAGGGAGTTGGGGGGTGCAGTTTTAACTTTTACTTTATTTGTGACTGTGTTGTTTACCTAGTAACAAAGATCATGTTTTTTTTTTTTTTAATCTTCAAAGGAATGGACAAATTAAAGAAAACTTGTCAGGATGCCGAATGACATGCACGTGGTGATCCTTTTGTTTACATAAAAACAACTGTTAAAGGGGTTAGAGACAGAGGTTTTGACTTAATAATTTTTTTGAAAAGAGGTATATTGGTAAAGATAAAAGGATAAAATAAAGAAACAGAAAATAAGGAGGGAAAACACCCAGAAAATTCAGAATACCTGAAACCTGGTGTTTGGTGTCTGACAAGATCTTGTCACATCAGACCCAGAGCACGAGGCGGCGGGGCTGGGCTGGCGGGGTGGACGCCCTGGGGCAGAGCCTTCTCCTCCCAGGAGGTCGGTGTTTGCACCGAAGTGGTGGCGAGCACCCAGTAAATGCACAAACCCCCAAGGCTAGCCTTCCCCCGACTTCAGCAGGGACACCAGGGCCTACAGTGGGGAGTGACTGGAAGTAAGTTCACCAGAAAAGGTTTAGACCCACAGGCCAGGATCTGTGAGACTGAATCAGCTAGCGTCACCTAATCATAAAACATGGGGCAGAGAGGAGACACCGTCTGTCTGTCTGTCCGGAGGGACGATGGCATGGAGGACCCGTGCTCTGCCGCGGGCACCGGCCTCCCGAGGATTCCAGCCTCTCTTCTGAGGACAGAAGGGAGCCAGGGGGCTTCGAAGAGGCGAGTGAGAATGGGTGGTTCGTGCTTTCTAGAACCCTCCATCATGGCTTTGTGATGGCAGGCTGCCAGATGGAGGGCAGGATGGGAGGGATTGGCCAGGTTCCGAGAAGACAGCTTTGGGCTCATCACAAATGGTGAGGCTGAGACGGGCCAGAGAGGGCTCTCAGCCAGGCTGCTGGGATGTGGGTGAACGTGAAGCGCCTTCCAGGTGGTGAATGATGGCCCCGCTGGTGGACGTGGTGAGTGGTGGAAGGGACAGCCAGGCCCCAGCACGATGGCCAGGTTTCTCCCCACAGGGGCGGCTCTCCTGCAGTGGGGAGGCTGGGGCTCTGGGGCGGCGTTGTGTGGGTGGGCACGTGTCCGCGACCAACCGGGCAGCGCCCAGCAGGTAGCGGGGGCACAAAAGTGTGTGGGGGGCACGGCTCTGGGGGAGGCCACATCGATGGGGTCTTGCATACAGATGTCGAGTAAAGATGGGGGTGGAGATACAGAGAGACGGGGGGACAGGGAGAGACGGGGGACAGGGAGAGACGGGGGGACAGGGAGAGACGGGGGGACAGAGAGAGATGGGGGTGCAGAGAGAGACGGGGGTGCAGAGAGAGACGGGGGGACAGGGAGAGACAGGGGGAGACAGAGAGAGACAGGGGGACAGGGAGAGACGGGGGGAGACAGAGAGAGACGGGGGGACAGGGAGAGACGGGGGGACAGAGAGAGACGGGGGTGCAGAGAGAGACGGGGGGACAGAGAGAGACAGGGGGAGACAGAGAGAGACAGGGGGACAGGGAGAGACGGGGGGAGACAGAGAGAGACGGGGGGACAGGGAGAGATGGGGGGACAGGGAGAGACGGGGGGACAGAGAGAGACGGGGGGACAGGGAGAGACGGGGGGACAGAGAGAGACGGGGAGACAGGGAGAGACGGGGGGACAGAGAGAGACGGGGGGACAGAGAGAGACGGGGGGACAGGGAGAGATGGGGGGACAGGGAGAGACGGGGGGACAGAGAGAGACGGGGGGACAGGGAGAGACGGGGGGACAGAGAGAGACGGGGGGACAGGGAGAGACGGGGGGAGACAGAGAGAGACGGGGGGACAGAGAGAGACGGGGGGACAGAGAGAGACGGGGGGACAGGGAGAGATGGGGGGACAGGGAGAGACGGGGGGACAGAGAGAGACGGGGGGACAGGGAGAGACGGGGGGACAGAGAGAGACGGGGAGACAGGGAGAGACGGGGGGACAGGGAGAGACGGGGGGACAGGGAGAGACGGGGGGAGACAGAGAGAGACGGGGGGACAGAGAGAGACGGGGGGACAGAGAGAGACGGGGGGACAGAGAGAGACGGGGGGACAGGGAGAGATGGGGGGACAGGGAGAGACGGGGGGACAGAGAGAGACGGGGGGACAGGGAGAGACGGGGGGACAGAGAGAGACGGGGAGACAGGGAGAGACGGGGGGACAGGGAGAGATGGGGGGACAGGGAGAGACGGGGGGACAGGGAGAGACGGGGGGACAGGGAGAGATGGGGGGACAGGGAGAGACGGGGGACAGGGAGAGACGGGGGGACAGGGAGAGACGGGGGTGCAGAGAGAGACGGGGGGACAGAGAGAGACAGGGGGAGACAGAGAGAGACAGGGGGACAGGGAGAGACGGGGGGAGACAGAGAGAGACGGGGGGACAGAGAGAGACGGGGGGACAGAGAGAGACGGGGGGACAGGGAGAGACGGGGGGACAGGGAGAGACGGGGGACAGGGAGAGACGGGGGGACAGGGAGAGATGGGGGTGCAGAGAGAGACGGGGGGACAGAGAGAGACAGGGGGAGACAGAGAGAGACAGGGGGACAGGGAGAGACGGGGGGAGACAGAGAGAGACGGGGGGACAGAGAGAGACGGGGGGACAGAGAGAGACGGGGGGACAGGGAGAGACGGGGGGACAGGGAGAGATGGGGGGACAGAGAGAGACGGGGGGACAGAGAGAGACGGGGGGACAGAGAGAGACGGGGGGACAGAGAGAGATGGAGGTGCAGAGAGAGATAGGGGGACAGGGAGAGACGGGGGGACAGGGAGAGACGGGGGGACAGGGAGAGACGGGGGGACAGAGAGAGATGGGGGTGCAGAGAGAGACGGGGGGACAGACAGAGATGGGGGTGCAGAGAGAGACGGGGGGACAGAGAGAGACGGGGGGACAGAGAGAGATGGGGGTGCAGAGAGAGACGGGGGGACAGACAGAGATGGGGGTGCAGAGAGAGACGGGGGGACAGAGAGAGATAGGGGGACAGAGAGAGATGGGGGTGCAGAGAGAGACGGGGGGACAGGGAGAGACGGGGGGACAGAGAGAGATAGGGGGACAGAGAGAGACGGGGGGACAGAGAGAGACGGGGGGACAGAGAGAGATGGGGGTGCAGAGAGAGACGGGGGGACAGAGAGAGATAGGGGGACAGAGAGAGATGGGGGTGCAGAGAGAGACGGGGGGACAGGGAGAGACGGGGGGACAGAGAGAGACGGGGGGACAGAGAGAGACGGGGGGACAGAGAGAGATGGGGGTGCAGAGAGAGACGGGGGGACAGAGAGAGACGGGGGGACAGAGAGAGACGGGGGGACAGAGAGAGATAGGGGTGCAGAGAGAGATAGGGGGACAGAGAGAGATGGGGGTGCAGAGAGAGACGGGGGGACAGGGAGAGACGGGGGGACAGAGAGAGATAGGGGGACAGAGAGAGATGGGGGTGCAGAGAGAGACGGGGGGAGACAGAGGAGATAGAGGGAGAGTCGGGGCGCAGGAGAGGTGGGGCGTGTGGACCAGCAGCAGGAGGGCGGGCTGCGGGGACCCACATCACACAGACAGGCAGAAGTTGCTGCAGGAGAACCCAGCAGGTCCGGGAGTGCGGCTGGGGCAGAGCTTAGAGGCCAGACGGGAGCCCTTTAAGGAGGATGGGAACCCTTTAAGGAGGATGGTTAGCCCTTTAAGGAGGATGGGGAGCTGTGAAGCCTGAGGTGGACAACCCGGAAGACAGGACTGATGCGCGTCGGTGATCTTGTTTGGAAGATGCTGGTGACTGAGCGTGATGCGAGGTGAGACATCGGGCCCTATTTAGACCTGACGGCTCGGCCAGCTCCTGTCTCCGGATACAAATGACCACACTTAGCACAGCCCTCATCCCTGACTGCAGGGGTCACCGCGGCTGTCTCCCACAGCATGGACCTGGCCCCTCCAGGTCCATCCACCCCAGGACACAGACAAAGGCCTCGTGGCTCCCAGCACGGCAGGCAGTGTGGACATCAGCCTGTTTCCGGGGCTCCCAGCAGCCCCGAGTGTCCGGCAGGGATGGGGGCCCGAGATATCCACAGGCGCAGATGAGCCGGGACGCCCAGGGACGCTGGAGCAGGGAGCAGGCACGCAGCAAGCAGCGAGCACGGCCACCAGCACCAACTCTGCGGCCGCAGCAAACCCTGCAGGGCAGCCACCCCGCTCGGCCCCTGCTCCCCGGGGCCTGCAGGGCTCACCCTGCGGGCGGCGTCACCACGTCCAGGCCCATGTGACCCGTGGTGCGGAGGGCTCAGCGTCGGGGCTGCAGGCAGTGGACCTGGAGCCCACAGGAGCCAGGGCGGGGTGCGCGGGCCGGGCTGGGGCCTCCCACTCCAACCGAGCTGCGAGGCCAGAACAGACACTGACCGAGCAGGACCCTCCCCGGGGCCTCCGCTGGGCCGGGGTTGGCCGGGACCAACTGCCCCGCAGGGGGCAGGAGCAGGTGTGGACCGGGGCCTGGAGGCCGTCTTGGCCCCAGACGGCGCTGGCGGGCTGCAGGGGGAGGAGGGGACTCCCTCGGATGGTGGCGGAACCCAGGGCCTCACGGCCTCCGTCCTGCACGTCCACTCTTTTCCTGAACCTTCCCCTGGGGTAGAGCCCTCTGCCGTGGCCCAGGAGCCCTGGTCTGACCAGTAGCCTCCAGTGAGAGCCCTTCATCCCCCGTGGACTGAATCCATGACCAGCCCTGCTGAGTGAGCTGAAAGAAGGGCTCCCCAAGTAGACTCCTTCTCATGAAGAAGCGGGGGCTCTGTCTCGGCCAGAGTGAGGAGCGGGAGACGGGGAGGCAGCCACACAGTGAAGTCTCTACCTGGACAGGGAGAAGCCAGGCTTTCCATCAGCGCCAGGGACGCGTAAGTCTATCATCGCCCCATGCAACGTCACAGGGGAAAACTCGCTGAACTTGCTCGTCTGACCCTGCGTACACTGAGGCACTATTGGTACTTGTCACCCTGGCCGTGTGTCCCTTTGTCATGAAACAAACACAAATAATGGTATTTTTCAGTAACCGGATTAAATTAATAGCCAAACAAATTCAGAGTGTGGTCAAACACTTGTTAAATATAATGACAAACTTGTTACCATTAATATCTGGAGGACTTAAAAACTGAGGAAAATGCCAAAACCCGCATAAAACGGGCAGGCTGAGATGTTGGCCACAGGTATGACGATCACTATTTTGTTCAAAACAGAAAAGAAAGGGAACACCATGGAGAGAAAAGCTGAGGTGCCCTTTCATCTCCAAGGGCAGCTGGGAAGATGCTAGCGGTGCTTGCTCAGAGGCAGACTGATTGCTGACCTGCATTTCTGGAATCAGCTGACAAAATGCTCCAGAACCTCACACTCTCCCTGTGCTTGGAAATAGCAATTTCCCTGATGCAGCTTTATCTGCAGGAGCGCTAACAGCCTGATGCATAAGCGGTTACTGGTTAAAGATATCTGATGTTATAACAGAGGGATCCATCCTCACTTGGAATAATATTAAAGTCCTGGATGTAAAAACGATGAATGTGCTGAGAATTACACAAGTAGACTGCTCCATACAAATAGTCACACGAATCTGCAAGGAAAAGTCAGGGCAGATGCAGCAAAACCGGAGACTCTATTAAAAACTGCCTTGTCTGCAGCCATCTGGGTGGAGAGGTTATGGCCCACTTTAATTTCTTTCATTCTTTTCTTTGACAAAAAGAATTATTCCAATTTGTCCCAAATTAGTGTTATTTTTCAAGAGACAGTGCATTACAGGAAACCCACAGTAACACTGGCTTAAACAAGATAGGATTGTAATCCTTAATCACATTTTTCAGGTAGATAGAGTAGACTCTACCTACTGAGGCTGGTTATTCAGAGGCACCAATATTGTTGACGATCAAGTGTTCAAGCTCCTCCCGTCTTGCTGCGCCATACTCTCAGCAGGAGGAATCCATCCCTCGTGTTTAAGACGGCTGCTGGAGCTCCTGCCATTGTGTCAGCCCTCCAAAAGGCCTAGAGGAGCATCGAGGAAATGCCCAAAGAGTGTACCAGCCAGCAGAGCGTGTTCCTTTGGAGAAAGAGAGTTGAACACAGAGTTTCCACATGACCAGGCAAGCCCGCTCCTCGGTGTAGACCCAAAGAATTGAAAGCAGAGATTCAGATAGATATTTGCACACTTCTGTTCACAGCAGTCTAAATGCGGTCCATCCATACAGTGGAATAGCACTCAGCCTTAATTTAAGAAGAAGGAAATCCTGATACAGGCTGCAAACATGGATGAATCCTGAAGACATGATGCTCAGTGAAATCAGCCAGGCTCAGAAGGACGAATGCTGTCTGACTCCACTCACAGGAGGTCCCCGGAGGGGTCAGGTTCATAGAGACAGGGAGTAGATGGTGGGGTCAGGGGCTGGGGGGGGGGAGGGTCGGGACTGAGTGTTTCACGCGGTCAGAGTGTCAGGTGGAAAGATGGACAGTCCTGGAGACAATGGCCTGAAGGCAACAGGCCCGTGAATGTGCGTCGTGGCCCTGACCTGTGCACCTAGAAATGGAGGAAATGCTGACGTTGATGGTGTGCACATTTTATCACAAGTTTAAAACAGAGAGAAAAAAAGGGCGGACAAAAGAAGGAAAACAAAGGAAAAAGGAGGCTCCTGCCTGCCTGGGTGTTTGTCAACGTGTCCCCACCCTTTCTGGGCGGCTGGGACCCGGGCCTTTGACCACAGCTGGTGTGAGCGAGGCCGGGACATGGGTGGTGGCCATGCGGGACTCGAGGGGAGCAGTGGGACGGGGCAGCCTGGCGTGTCCGGCAGAGGAGCCGAGGTGGGCTGAGGTATGGGAGTGCCCCAAGCCCCTGGGTCACTTGGGCAGGGCCGACGGAATCGGAGGAAGGACACCACGGGGGTCCCAGGGGCGGGGGGTATCTGGGTAGGGCTGGCCGGGGGGAGGGCGTGGTTGGGGGTGTCTGCAGGGCTGCAGCCCTCAGTGCAGCCCAGCCGCGTCTGGAGGTGGAGGCTGGGCAGGTCAGACGGAGGGAGGACGAGACCAGCGCCTCTGACGCCCCGCGGCTTTGCCGGCTCAGGACCCTGTCTGTGACCCCACTCCTCTGGTGCTCCCGCTGCCCCCGACCAGGGCCCTGGGTCTGGGGTCTGGACGCTGGTCCCTGGGAAGCGGGGCCTCCCAGATCAGGGACGATGAGGACCCAGTGTCCACCCTCAGCCTCCGCTTGCAGAACAGCCTGGAGGGTCCGGCATCCTGGCCCGGGCCTGCGAGGATCTGGGGGATGGACAAGCCCCTGCCCTCCCCTCGGAGGCCGCGCCCCAGGCCGAGGCCCGCTCCGCTCCCACCCGGGGGTCCCGGGACCCGCCCCAACTGCACCGTCAGCGCAGACCCCGCTGACCGCCCAGGTGGTGGGCCGGGGGCCGCTGCGGCCCCCGCGCGGGGCGGTCCGGAGATGGCGTGACTGCAGTGATGTCAGCGATAGTCCCACAGGGACCCCGGAGAGACCTGCAGAGCGTTACAGCAGGCGGGCGAGAAGCAGAGGGGAGACAGATGTGCTGGGCTGTAAACAGTCTGATTTCTCGATGTAAACCAGACTCGGGCCCAGGACTCCAGGTACGCGTCCGAGGCGGAGCCCGCCCCCCGGGGGCCAGGCTGTGCAGCCCCACTCTGGGACGCGTCAGAGTGACCGCCGAGACGGTCCGTAATTAGGCGAAATTGGTCTTGCATTCCTCCCCTAAATCCCCAAGATCTCTGCAATTTTAGGTCTTCTCAAAAAGGAAAACATTTGCTAATTAAATGATACAAGTGAAAAAAAGCACAGAATGTTCCGTCGACTGGAAAATGCCAATTAGGGAGGCAGCTCTGCTTTCCCTCCCACCTTGGGCTGCGCGGGGCGCTTACCTCGCTGTGAGGGGTCTGCTGGGAGCGGGGTCTGGGGCAGGGCCCTCCTCGGAGACGCCTGGGGGAGGACGGAGCGGCCGGGGCCTGGCCGGGCAGGCGGGCCGTGTGCTGGGGCTGGGGAGGGGGCCGGCTAGCCTGGGCCGGGGCCTGGGCCCTCGGAGCTGGGCGGCCCCGATATCGCCTCCAGCTGTGGCAGCACCAAGGACAGTGGCCTTGCCCGCACAGGTCGGTGATTAGTCTGCTTCCTGCGGGCTGGCGGGGCCCCCTGCCCGCTGGCCTTCACTCTGGAGGAGCTGGTCTTTGTGCTGGCGGCGGGGTGGTGGTCGTGTGTGTTCACCCCAGCCCAGCTCCATTCCTGGGCTGGAAGTTTCCTTCCCCAGCGCCCTGCTCAGGGCCAGGCTGGGCAGGTGTCTGAGGCCTAGAACTCGGGTGGGTGTTTGCTGACTGTGGTTCTGCCCTCTCTCTCGCTGAGACCCCCACGCCCTGCAGGCTCGGGAGCTCTCAGACGCCTGTAAGGAAGAGTCTCCCCGGCCTTGCCGCTCCTGCACCCCAAGGCTGGCTTAGAGACCATGTGCCTGTGCAGCCCACACCCTAGTAATGGGGTTTATATTTTCGAATGAGTGGATAGAAGTCAGAAGAGGAAGAATACTGTGTGACGCACGAACGTGACATGACGCTCACCTCCAGGCCCGGCAGCAGCCTGTCTTCGAGCAAGCTGCCTGTCCACCCGGCCTTTCGGCAGCCAGCCTCCTGCTGCAGTGGCAGAGCTGACTGTGGCTCAGAGACCGCGAAGCCCACCACATCTACACCGTTCAGCTTCTGGCTCTGCATAAAGCGTCTGCCCGTTCTGACCCACGTCCCTACTCAGACATCGACCCGGTTCAGGACCAGATTGGTGCCGGGCTCAGGTCTCTATCCCTTGGCCTCTTGCGTGGAGCTGGTGGGGCTTTTTAAGAGCCTCAGCCGAGTGTTTGAACGGTGTCTCAAGGTCCCTGGCTTCCAGAAATTCTAACCAAGACACATACATATACTAGAGGATGAACTTGCAGTGGGCAAGGTGGGGGCAACCAGGGCACTGAGAAGTGGTCCGGTTCTGAAGCATGTGTCCGATCAGCATGGAGCCACGGGCCGAGTGTGGGCCCAGCGGGGATCGGGGCCCAGAGCTCCAGTCTGGGGAAACCTGGACACGATGCTCAGGCTCTCCCAGCGTCGGGACCCATCTTTCCAACAGACACAATGATAGACTGGTGCATGTCTTGTGTCTGCTTCTTTGGGAGAGCATCATTGTTGTTCAGCTACTGAGTCATGTCCAAACCTCTGCCACCCCATGGACCGCAGCACGCCAGGCTTCCCTGTCCTTCACCACCTCCTGGAGTTTGCTCAAACTCATGGGGTCAGTGATGCCATCCAACCATCTCATCCTCTGTCACTCCCTTCTCCTCTTGCCTTCAAACTTTCTCAGCATCAGGGTTTTTTCCAATGAGTCTACTCTTTGCATCAGGTGACCAAAATATTGGAACTTTGGTTTCAGCATTGGTCCTTCCAATGAATATTCAGGGTTTATTTCCTTTAAGACTGACTGGTTTGATGTCCTTGATATTCAATGGGACTCTTAAAAGTCTTCTCCAATACCACAATTCAAAAGCATCAATTCTTCAACATTCAGCTTTCTTTGTAGTCCAGCTCTCATATCCATACATGACTACTGGAAAGATATCTTTGCTGGGTCTAAAGCCATGGTGATTGCACACGCTCATGGCTGGCTGTGACCAACGGCACAGGTCTGGAGGAACGGGCGGCTGGATCGGAAGCGGACCCCTGAAGTGGGTCCCCGTGAAGTCACTGCTTGCCCTTAGTGCTGCCTGGGGGAGAAGCCTTTCCTGAAAAGATAAAACAGCAGTCCCCACAGCTCAGTGACTGAGCAGTAATTTTGACAAGGCAGGCGGCCTGGCTGCGTCTCCCGATAAGACAGTGCCCCGCTGCTCCCGCTGAAGCGAGGGGTCTTGGCTCCCAGGGGGCCTGGGCCCGGGGCAGGGGCACCTCGGGCCATTGTGCCTTTGTGACCAGAGGCTCCAGCGCACCCGGGTATGTTCTGACCCTGCTCCCGCCAGACCCCTGCCTGCCCTGGGCAGACCCCGGCTACGTCCCACAGGCGGAGGGCAGGGGGCCTCCTCACAGGAGCCTCCAGCTGCTATGGGGCAGAAGGGAGGGGAGAAGAGGGACGCTGTCCTGTGAGCCCAGGGCCCAGGACTCCCCACGCCTGCAGGGTCCCATGCAACCCCAGTCAACGCAAGGCCCTGAGGCTGGACAGGTGAGTGGCTTCCCACGGTCACACAGCGAGGGCCTGAGGCTGGACAGGTGAGTGGCTTCCCAAGGTCACACAGCGAGGCCCTGAGGATGGACAGGTGAGTGGCTTCCCACGGTCACACGCAAGGCCCTGAAGCTGGACAGGTGAGTGGCTTCCCACGGTCACACAGCGAGGCCCTAAGGCTGGACAGGTGAGTGGCTTCCCACGGTCACACAGCGAGGGCCTGAAGCTGGACAGGTGAGTGGCTTCCCAAGGTCACATGCAAGGCCCTGAAGCTGGACAGGTGAGTGGCTTCCCAAGGTCACACAGCAAGGCCCTGAAGCTGGACAGGTGAGTGGCTTCCCAAGGTCACACGCAAGGCCCTGAAGTTGGACAGGTGAGTGGCTTCCCAAGGTCACACGCAAGGCCCTGAAGCTGGACAGGTGAGTGGCTTCCCAAGGTCACACAGCGAGGCCCTGAGGCTGGACAGGTGAGTGGCTTCCCAAGGTCACACGCAAGGCCCTGAAGCTGGACAGGTGAGTGGCTTCCCAAGGTCACACGCAAGGCCCTGAAGCTGGACAGGTGAGTGGCTTCCCAAGGTCACACAGCGAGGCCCTGAAGCTGGACAGGTGAGTGGCTTCCCAAGGTCACACGCAAGGCCCTGAAGCTGGACAGGTGAGTGGCTTCCCAAGGTCACATGCAAGGCCCTGAAGCTGGACAGGTGAGTGGCTTCCCAAGGTCACACGCAAGGCCCTGAAGCTGGACAGGTGAGTGGCTTCCCAAGGTCACACAGCGAGGCCCTGAAGCTGGACAGGTGAGTGGCTTCCCACGGTCACACAGCGAGGGCCTGAGGCTGGACAGGTGAGTGGCTTCCCAAGGTCACATGCAAGGCCCTGAAGCTGGACAGGTGAGTGGCTTCCCAAGGTCACACGCAAGGCCCTGAAGCTGGACAGGTGAGTGGCTTCCCAAGGTCACACAGCGAGGGCCTGGCGTGCAGAGAAGCTCTGCTGCCTCAGACAGCGAGCATGCACTTCGGCAGAGCGTGAGTGACGAACCTCCCGCAGAACCAGAAACAGTTTCTTTTGGCAGCGGGAGAGGCACAGCGTGTCGCGGTGACTCACTCAAGGCCCCCACCCTGGTCTCGGCGGATGGCAGGGGCCCCTCGCCTCCGCAGGCCTCGCTCCGCCATCATCCCTCCCCGCCCCGCTGGACGCCTGGAGGTTGCTCCAGCTCCACGTGGGTGCTTTCTGCCCGTCTCCCACTCTACACGGCCACAGTTCTGGTGCCAGGAAGCCCTGGGGAAAGCCGCGCACAGGTGCCACATGCCCATGGCTCCGTTTCCCTGGGATCGTGGACCCCCAAGTCCCACCTTCCTCAGGAGTCACAGCAGGGTTCTCAGAGGCAGAATGACGGATGAACACACGTGGACGCGTATGTATCACTACACAGAGAGATTTAATCTCAGGAATCGCCTCACGTGATTACAGAGGCTGGGGAGTCTGCAGTCTGCACTGCGGCCAGCAGGCCGGAGGCCAAGGAGGGCCCAGGGTTGAGGCGGGGTTGAAGGCCGCGAGCCGGAGGATCCCCTCCTGCTCGGGGAGCTTGGTCTTTGGCTCTAGTTAGGCCTTCAACTGATTGCATGCGTCCCGCTACCCTGTGGGGGCCATCTGCTTCCGGGGCGGCTAAAAGCAGTTTAAGGGCTAATCTCAGCCAAACACCCTCCAACTCCTCCTGCTTTTGCAGCCCCTCCCTCTCACCACGCCCTGGCCCACCTGGTGCCCCCATGACCCCCAATCTCCCAGTCACTGGGTATCACTTGAATTCTTTAGAGAAGTGGAATCATAACCTGTGTGCTCCCTGGAACTGGCTTTTCCACTCAGCATCATGACTCTGAGGCTCATCTGTATTCCCGCTTCCCCAGGTTTTCCCAACCAGTTTCAATGGCACGTGGGTGTGAGCCTCAGCCAGGACCATCTCCTTGCAGCCCCTGACAACCGGCTGGCCCGCCCTGGAGCGGTTCCTGCCACCGGACGGCTGGGCTCCGGGCGCCTCAGCTGGTGATGCTTTCCTGAGATCAGGACGATCTCCACTTGGTGACATCTCAGATGCCCAGCCCTGGGGCCCCAAGCTGCCCCTGACAGAGTCACCACAGTGACCCTTGAACAGACTCTGGGCTGGGCTGGGCACTGAGGCGGTGGAGAATCTGCAGGAGGAGGTGGCTGGACCGTTACAGACAATGTCAGTGCTTTGGGGCAAATTAATTAAACACAACTCCAGGCTTGAAGCCTGGGAGATGGCGCATGTTGCTGACCCCTGACTCTCATGCAGGCCCTGCCTGGACCTAGTCGAACATCCTTTGCTCTGAAGGTTCAGCCTCCTTGGAGCGACGTTCTGAGCTCACAGCCTCGCAGAGAGCTGCTTCCTTGGTTTGCATCCTGGGTGAGCGTGTGGGGAGAAGACTGTGAGTGCCGCCTCAGGAGACTGAGCAGGAGGCCAGGTCCCGATTCTCCACTCACTCATTTATTCCCTGGGTGCACCGAGGCCTCGTCTGTCTTGGAGACTGAACAGAAGAGGGCGTGGCACCTGAGCCGTGCAGGGACCACGTCCCTCCCCGACTGCCCCTCCCCCAGGTGCCACGGCTTCCGCCAGGGGCTTTGCGCTGGGCTGGGGTGGCCCTGCCTCTGAGGCCAGTGTGACTGGACACTCGTTCAGCTTCTCGGATGCCCTCGACCCCAGGGAGGCTCAGCGTGCAGGACACGGAGCCCAGAACCTCAGCTGTCACGTGGAGGGAACAGGGACCCCGTGACTTCCCAGGTTGACTTTTATTAATAGAAAAAAGGCAAAAAGTAAACGTGCAAAGTATGAACTAAATAGAGTGAATAATAGAGTTGTTTTAAGAAAAAACTAAACAGATTTCTCTGGGAGAAATAGACACAAAGAAGTGAGCATGCGCCCAGGTCACACCTGCCCCTGCAGGTATATGGAGGCTCCTGGCCCAGGAGGCCCCACACTGAGCACCTTCTCTCTCTCCACCTGCTCCTCTGACCTGCTCCATCCTCAATCCACCAGAACCATGGGCTGCTCTGGCTGTTCCGGAGGCTGCGGCTCCAGCTGCTGTGTGCCCGTCTGCTGCTGTGTGCCAGCCTGCTCCTGCTCCGGCTGCGGCACAGGGGGCTGTGGCTCATGTGGGGGCTCCAAGGAGGGCTGTGGCTCATGTGGGGGGTCTAAGGGGGGCTGTGGCTCGTGTGGGGGGTCCCAGTCCAGCTGCTGCAGACCCTGCTGCTCCCAGTCCACCTTCTCTGTCCCCATTTGCTGCTAGTGCAAGATCTGAGCTGCTGGCCACAGACCGCAGGACTCCAGTCGAGCAGGGACTACGGTACCCAGGTGTCCCCCTCTTCTATCAATTCATCCCTCTGGTGTTTAAGACCAGATGCTGAGCCATCGCTAAAGTCTCTGCCTGACCCAAGCGCCCTGTCTCCTCACTCCCGTTCTCTCCTCTGGTTCTGGTGGCTCTGTTCCTGTGTTTCCTGGGAGCAGGGAAGGGCTCCATTGGGAAGAAAATTAAGTGTTAGCTGCCACGTAATAAGGCAGACACCATGTGGGGAGACGTCACCCAAAAGTAGCAGGAAAAAGTTAATGGAAAAAAGTATATAAGGAAAACTAAAAGATACGGACAACAAAAGCAGAAGGCCGACACATGAATAGCAGGAATTTGAGCCCAAGAGAAGAATGATTCTGGAGGGGAAAAAAAAAAAACTGGAAAAAATAACTGAGAGTTTTCCTCAAAATTAAAGAAACGCTTTTTTCAAAGCCTTTATATTAAAAGGGTTTGAGAAGAAACACACTCCTTCCCACATGCACATTGTAGTGTGGATGATAAAGAGGAGATTCTAAAATTTTCTGGGGAGGAGGCGCGTGAGCACTGGAAGGTTCACGCTCACACACACGCTGGGGCCAGAGTTACACGTGGAAAAGGAAGGAACCGTCGACAGGACATGTCACATCCAGTCCCAAACACTTCAATGTGAGGGGACAGTCGGAGGGGTGAGTATTATTTTCTTCATGGTGACTTTAAAAGCAGAAACACTTTGATTTTGCCACAGTCCGACTTACCCGTGCTCTCTTCTGTGGGTCCTGGCCGGGGGTCGTCTGTGAGGAGCTGGGCCTGGACCAGGGCTGCAGACGCCCTCCTGTGTTTGCTTGTAATGAGCTTGGTCCCGGCCCAAATGCAGCGCCTCCTGGGACGGACCTGCGTGGTTGCGTGAGGCCTGGGAGCTCAAGCCCTGGTGCCTCCTGCCTCATCAGGTGACAGCGGCCCTGCACCTTTCTCTCTGGCCAGCCTGCGGAGCTCCACAGACCGCAGACCCTGGCGTGGGCCTGTGCCCGCGGGGGCCGCTCGCCTTCTGCAGGACCTCAGTCAGGGCTGGTCCTTCTGGCCACCAGGGGCCGAGCTGGGTCTTCTCTTCGGCACTGGTGGGGCCGCTGCCGCCTCGCGCTCCAGGTGGGGCCTGGGCGCCCCTCCCTGATTCCCCAGACTCTGCATGCAGAGGCACGGATGGCCTTCCTCCGCACGCGCCCCCGGCCCCCGCGTGCCCAGGCTTTATGAAGCCTCTCCTCCGTGCTGGGCACAAGACCGCGGTGGATTCTCCCACCAAGATGAGACCAGCAGACAATCTGTCTGCAAATTCCTGAAACCTCACAAACGGCAAAACTCTATGACTATCTCAAACAGAAGCTGCAAAAGCTTATATGGTCAACCAAGTCCAAAGTCCTAAAGCTTACAGCTCAGCATTCATTTTTTTTTTAGAAAAAAGGGAAATACTTGAAAATCTAGCAATATCTTTAAGTTTTGACAGACACCCATCAGAAAATGACACTACATTTCATGTAAAGGTGACACATCAGAAGAAAAAAGCTACTACCTATTTTATTTAGCATTGTTTTGGATGACAGCACCGTGACAAAATAAAAAGTAAATACAATTAAAAGCATTTTTAAAAGGAAGGGACAAACCCATTGAAACAGATGAAATCTCAGTACAAAAGTGCCATAAGTTAACAGCTTTCTAAACACCATGTGACAACGTTTCTCATTTCTAATTCAAAAATCATAGACTACTCTAGGAAACTCCTTGGCAAAACACTAAAATAAACAAAGAAAATTTAGTTAAAAAAATTTAAGAGCCTACTCTCCTAAAGAAAAGATCTAAATAAATAAAAAAGTAACAGGGTTTTGACTGGGGAAACTCAGTGAAACTTCAATTCTCGAAAAGCGAATCTACAGATTTAATTTCATTCCAATTAAAAGAAAGGATTATTTTTATCCTACCAAGTTTCCTTAAAATTCTCATTAAAGAGGAAATATGCAGGCTAGCTATTAACTTTCTGAAAGCGAAGTACAAAGGAAGCAGAATGAGTGGAGATTTCCCGGAAGATATCAGAAGCAACCACAAAGGGCCAGTAATGAAACAGCGGAGCGCTGATTGGAGATTGGACAGACAGCGACGCTGCACTCGGGGCCCTCCAGCCAGCCCACCGGCCCAATGTGGGGAAGGTTGACGGGGCAGCTTCACTGAACAGGGCAGAGGACAGCGTGCTGCTCAAGGGCAGAACCACTAAGTCGTTTGGAGCAAAAGAACTAAATCCTCACTTAGACACGACAGTAAAGACGAACCCAAATCTAAACAGAAACATGGAGACATGGGGTTTCTGGAAGAACACACTAGGAGTTAATGCAGTCTTGGCATGAAATAATGGAAGTGTTTGAGACATTGGACGCTTTCAATAGGAAACACCTCTCTGCTGAAAACACCAACCAAAAAGAAAGATTGCAGGTTCAGAGGAAATATTCCTAACAATATAATAAGAAAATATGAATATTCCTAATATCCAAATGGATTGGTGGCTTCTCCCAGGGATTAGCCAGAAAGTATCTGCCAGCAAGGCAGGAGATGCAGGAGACTCGGGTTCGATCCCTTGAAGGAGGAAATGGCAACCCACTCCAGCGTTCTGGCCTGGAGAATCCCACAGACAGAGGAGGCTGGTGGGCTGCCATCCCCGGGGTCACAGAGAGTCGGACACGACAGCACACAGGCCCCGCGCAGTCTAAACCGATGACACGGATCAGTAAGAAAGAGGCCAGGCGCTCAGCAGAGCATGGGCTGAGGGTGCGGGGAGACCCCTCAGTGGGGCTCGGGAATAGCGCAGGTGTCGTCTGAGCTGCCGCTGCCGCTAAGTCGACTCAGTCGTGTCCGACTCTGTGCGACCCCATGGACAGCAGCCCCCCAGGTTCCTCTGCCCACAGGATTCTCCAGGCAAGAGCACTGGAGTGGGCTGCCATTTCCTTCTCCATGTCGTCTATGATACCCACATAATCAATAGATTCATGTCGTTAACTACGTAGATTGCTTTACATTTTAATTTAGTTTTCCTAAATCCATCTATATACTTTTAACACAGCTTCTTCGAAAACACAGGAAAACTTTTTTTTTTTTGGTAGAAATAGATTCTAAAATTTGTAGGGAAGGTAAAAGAACTAGCATAGCTAATTAAAAAAATTTTTTTTTAAAGACTTTGGTTGGAGGAATCACACCAATTTACGGTAAAGTTGCTGTGATTAGGAAGTGATTCTGGGGAGATGGACAGAACGTGAGGGGAGCGGAATGGGGCCCACACACAGCTGCACACAAGAGTGGACGCCGGCCAGGCTGCCGAGACCCAGAAGTCCCTGAGCAGAGGAAGCAGAGTCTTCTAAATGAAGGGAACTGGTTGGAGCAATTATGCATCCAGACCCTCGACCTGAATCTCACACCACCTTACTAAAAAAACCACTCACACTGGATCCCAGAGTTAAACAATATAAAACTGAAAACTTTTAAAAGCAAAGATAGAAGAAACTCTTCAGGACTCAGCTGAGTGCTTAGACATAACATCAAAAGCATGAAGCTTTTGCTTTTTAATCATTAAAATCTGAAACTCCTGCCCTGCAAAAGCTCCCATAAAGAGGATGAAAAGATAAGTGATAGGTTAGGGGAAAGTATCTGCAGTTCGTGTCTCTGACAAGGGGCACGTTCAGAAGATAGACAGAGCGCTCAGAACTCGACCCCAGAGAGACAAATGGACAGAAGGCATGCCATGGAAGGGGCGACACGGATGGCAAACGAGCCATGAAGACATGGCCAACGCGATCAGCGGGTCGGGAGACGCCGGTGGGGGCGATCGCGAGATACCACCACGCTCCTGTTAAAACAGCGGAAATGAAGAATACTGACGACGCCACAGGCTGGAGATCACACATGCACACCGCTGCAGGACTGTAGAAGGGGCATCCATGCCAGAAAATGGCTTGGCAGTTTCTTAAAAAAAAAAAAATTAAGCGTATACTTACCCAGGGACCCAGTATCACACTCCCAGGCATTCATCCCAGAGAAGTGAAAACTCACGTCCACACACACACACACACGGACCTGCATTGTTCACAGGAGGCTTATCTCTCATGGCGAAACTGGAAACTAAAAATTCCTCAATGGGGAAGGCTACATAAATAGTCGTCCGTGAACCCCATGGGAGGCCCTTATCAATAAAAGAAATAAACTATTGACAAAAGCATAGGTGGTCCCTAGGGGCATCGCGCGGAGGGCAAACAGTTGATCTCAAAGGGCCATGAGCTGTGTGATGCCCTGAGTCCTTTTGAAAGAGATAAACCAGGCAGGTGGTGGCTGGGGGCTTAGGGGTGGGGTGAGGTCTGTGACCCTCCGGTAACAGACATGGGGGGCTGGGATGTCACACTGTCCCTGAGAACCAGACCCCACGGGGTGACGGCCAGTCCCGGGGCCCGTGTGCTGGAGGTAAGCAGAGGGCCCTGGGGGAGCTGGTGAAGGATGCAACTCTCGGTGCTATTCTTGAAAACTCCTCGGACTTTTTATATTTCTAAGGATCACGTATTGTGTGCTATCTTGCAAGTGAGAAAGAAAAAGAAATAGAGAGTATGCAATATCTAGTTACTATTGCAACCAAAATCCACAGGAAGGTAAACCAGAAATGAAAAAAGGCCTAAATGAGCAGGACATTGTAACTTCTGGACCCAGTTAAATGTCTTACAGAATCACACAGGGAGTATAAAATAAGATTTTTCAAAAGCATGGAAAATACATAAAATGGATTAAAACCGGAATCTATGAGCATTTTATGTGAATAACAGACTGTGAGGGGTGAATGCACATGAATTCCACCTGCCTTAGAAACAGGCCACGTCGTCCAGAGTGAAGGCCAGGGCAGGGGGCCCCGCCAGCCCGCAGGAAGCAGACTAATCACCGACCTGTGCGGGCAAGGCCACTGTCCTTGGTGCTGCCACAGCTGGAGGCGATATCGGGGCCGCCCAGCTCCGAGGGCCCAGGCCCCGGCCCAGGCTAGCCGGCCCCCTCCCCAGCCCCAGCACACGGCCCGCCTGCCCGGCCAGGCCCCGGCCGCTCCGTCCTCCCCCAGGGGTCTCCGAGGAGGGCCCTGCCCCAGACCCCGCTCCCAGCAGACCCCTCACAGCGAGGTAAGCGCCCCGCGCAGCCCAAGGTGGGAGGGAAAGCAGAGCTGCCTCCCTAATTGGCATTTTCCAGTCGACGGAACATTCTGTGCTTTTTTTCACTTGTATCATTTAATTAGCAAATGTTTTCCTTTTTGAGAAGACCTAAAATTGCAGAGATCTTGGGGATTTAGGGGAGGAATGCAAGACCAATTTCGCCTAATTACGGACCGTCTCGGCGGTCACTCTGACGCGTCCCAGAGTGGGGCTGCACAGCCTGGCCCCCGGGGGGCGGGCTCCGCCTCGGACGCGTACCTGGAGTCCTGGGCCCGAGTCTGGTTTACATCGAGAAATCAGACTGTTTACAGCCCAGCACATCTGTCTCCCCTCTGCTTCTCGCCCGCCTGCTGTAACGCTCTGCAGGTCTCTCCGGGGTCCCTGTGGGACTATCGCTGACATCACTGCAGTCACGCCATCTCCGGACCGCCCCGCGCGGGGGCCGCAGCGGCCCCCGGCCCACCACCTGGGCGGTCAGCAGGGTCTGCGCTGACGGTGCAGTTGGGGCGGGTCCCGGGACCCCCGGGTGGGAGCGGAGCGGGCCTCGGCCTGGGGCGCGGCCTCCGAGGGGAGGGCAGGGGCTTGTCCATCCCCCAGATCCTCGCAGGCCCGGGCCAGGATGCCGGACCCTCCAGGCTGTTCTGCAAGCGGAGGCTGAGGGTGGACACTGGGTCGTCATCGTCCCTGATCTGGGAGGCCCCGCTTCCCAGGGACCAGCGTCCAGACCCCAGACCCAGGGCCCTGGTCGGGGGCAGCGGGAGCACCAGAGGAGTGGGGTCACAGACAGGGTCCTGAGCCGGCAAAGCCGCGGGGCGTCAGAGGCGCTGGTCTCGTCCTCCCTCCGTCTGACCTGCCCAGCCTCCACCTCCAGACGCGGCTGGGCTGCACTGAGGGCTGCAGCCCTGCAGACACCCCCAACCACGCCCTCCCCCCGGCCAGCCCTACCCAGATACCCCCCGCCCCTGGGACCCCCGTGGTGTCCGTCCTCCGATTCCGTCGGCCCTGCCCAAGTGACCCAGGGGCTTGGGGCACTCCCATACCTCAGCCCACCTCGGCTCCTCTGCCGGACACGCCAGGCTGCCCCGTCCCACTGCTCCCCTCGGAGGAGTCCCGCATGGCCACCACCCATGTCCCGGCCTCGCTCACACCAGCTGTGGTCAAAGGCCCGGGTCCCAGCCGCCCAGAAAGGGTGGGGACACGTTGACAAACACCCAGGCAGGCAGGAGCCTCCTTTTTCCTTTGTTTTCCTTCTTTTGTCCGCCCTTTTTTTCTCTCTGTTTTAAACTTGTGATAAAATGTGCACACCATCAACGTCAGCATTTCCTCCATTTCTAGGTGCACAGGTCAGGGCCACGACGCACATTCACGGGCCTGTTGCCTTCAGGCCATTGTCTCCAGGACTGTCCATCTTTCCACCTGACACTCTGGCCGCGTGAAACACTCAGTCCCGACCCTCCCCCCCCCCAGCCCCTGACCCCACCACCTACTCCCTGTCTCTATGAACCTGACCCCTCCGGGGACCTCCTGTGAGTGGAGTCAGACAGCATTCGTCCTTCTGAGACTGGCTGATTTCACTGAGCATCATGTCTTCAGGATTCATCCATGTTTGCAGCCTGTATCAGGATTTCCTTCTTCTTAAATTAAGGCTGAGTGCTATTCCACTGTATGGATGGACCGCATTTAGACTGCTGTGAACAGAAGTGTGCAAATATCTATCTGAATCTCTGCTTTCAATTCTTTGGGTCTACACCGAGGAGCGGGCTTGCCTGGTCATGTGGAAACTCTGTGTTCAACTCTCTTTCTCCAAAGGAACACGCTCTGCTGGCTGGTACACTCTTTGGGCATTTCCTCGATGCTCCTCTAGGCCTTTTGGAGGGCTGACACAATGGCAGGAGCTCCAGCAGCCGTCTTAAACACGAGGGATGGATTCCTCCTGCTGAGAGTATGGCGCAGCAAGACGGGAGGAGCTTGAACACTTGATCGTCAACAATATTGGTGCCTCTGAATAAGCAGCCTCAGTAGGTAGAGTCTACTCTATCTACCTGAAAAATGTGATTAAGGATTACAATCCTATCTTGTTTAAGCCAGTGTTACTGTGGGTTTCCTGTAATGCACTGTCTCTTGAAAAATAACACTAATTTGGGACAAATTGGAATAATTCTTTTTGTCAAAGAAAAGAATGAAAGAAATTAAAGTGGGCCATAACCTCTCCACCCAGATGGCTGCAGACAAGGCAGTTTTTAATAGAGTCTCCGGTTTTGCTGCATCTGCCCTGACTTTTCCTTGCAGATTCGTGTGACTATTTGCATGGAGCAGTCTACTTGTGTAATTCTCAGCACATTCATCGTTTTTACATCCAGGACTTTAATATTATTCCAAGTGAGGATGGATCCCTCTGTTATAACATCAGATATCTTTAACCAGTAACCCCTTATGCATCAGGCTGTTAGCGCTCCTGCAGATAAAGCTGCATCAGGGAAATTGCTATTTCCAAGCACAGGGAGAGTGTGAGGTTCTGGAGCATTTTGTCAGCTGATTCCAGAAATGCAGGTCAGCAATCAGTCTGCCTCTGAGCAAGCGCCGCTAGCATCTTCCCAGCTGCCCTTGGAGATGAAAGGGCACCTCAGCTTTTCTCTCCATGGTGTTCCCTTTCTTTTCTGTTTTGAACAAAATAGTGATCGTCATACCTGTGGCCAACATCTCAGCCTGCCCGTTTTATGCGGGTTTTGGCATTTTCCTCAGTTTTTAAGTCCTCCAGATATTAATGGTAACAAGTTTGTCATTATATTTAACAAGTGTTTGACCACACTCTGAATTTGTTTGGCTATTAATTTAATCCGGTTACTGAAAAATACCATTATTTGTGTTTGTTTCATGACAAAGGGACACACGGCCAGGGTGACAAGTACCAATAGTGCCTCAGTGTACGCAGGGTCAGACGAGCAAGTTCAGCGAGTTTTCCCCTGTGACGTTGCATGGGGCGATGATAGACTTACGCGTCCCTGGCGCTGATGGAAAGCCTGGCTTCTCCCTGTCCAGGTAGAGACTTCACTGTGTGGCTGCCTCCCCGTCTCCCGCTCCTCACTCTGGCCGAGACAGAGCCCCCGCTTCTTCATGAGAAGGAGTCTACTTGGGGAGCCCTTCTTTCAGCTCACTCAGCAGGCCAGGTCATGGATTCAGTCCACGGGGGATGAAGGGCTCTCACTGGAGGCTACTGGTCAGACCAGGGCTCCTGGGCCACGGCAGAGGGCTCTACCCCAGGGGAAGGTTCAGGAAAAGAGTGGACGTGCAGGACGGAGGCCGTGAGGCCCTGGGTTCCGCCACCATCCGAGGGAGTCCCCTCCTCCCCCTGCAGCCCGCCAGCGCCGTCTGGGGCCAAGACGGCCTCCAGGCCCCGGTCCACACCTGCTCCTGCCCCCTGCGGGGCAGTTGGTCCCGGCCAACCCCGGCCCAGCGGAGGCCCCGGGGAGGGTCCTGCTCGGTCAGTGTCTGTTCTGGCCTCGCAGCTCGGTTGGAGTGGGAGGCCCCAGCCCGGCCCGCGCACCCCGCCCTGGCTCCTGTGGGCTCCAGGTCCACTGCCTGCAGCCCCGACGCTGAGCCCTCCGCACCACGGGTCACATGGGCCTGGACGTGGTGACGCCGCCCGCAGGGTGAGCCCTGCAGGCCCCGGGGAGCAGGGGCCGAGCGGGGTGGCTGCCCTGCAGGGTTTGCTGCGGCCGCAGAGTTGGTGCTGGTGGCCGTGCTCGCTGCTTGCTGCGTGCCTGCTCCCTGCTCCAGCGTCCCTGGGCGTCCCGGCTCATCTGCGCCTGTGGATATCTCGGGCCCCCATCCCTGCCGGACACTCGGGGCTGCTGGGAGCCCCGGAAACATGCTGATGTCCACACTGCCTGCCGTGCTGGGAGCCACGAGGCCTTTGTCTGTGTCCTGGGGTGGATGGACCTGGAGGGGCCAGGTCCATGCTGTGGGAGACAGCCGTGGTGACCCTTGGAGCCAGGATGCTCACGGTGAGCGGTAGGTGCAGCCACTCGTGTCTGGGGGAGCCAGGCACCTCTGTGGGACCCCAGATTCTGACGGGTCAGGACTCCTGCAGTGTACCCATGCGGCTCAGGACGGGCTGGCGTCCCCGCCTCTCCGCTGCAGCGGCTCTGGGCTGGTCCTGCTGCTTTCCCTCTTGGCCTGAGCAGCAGCTCAGCTGTCACAGGCCTGCAGCGCCTCTGGTCACCGCCGTGGCGGCCTCATCCTTACCCTACTCCGCTGTCGCCTGCAGGGATCCATCGCCTGGCTTCGCAGAGGCCAGCAGGCTCTTCCCCAGTCTTTCTTCCGTCACCTCCGCGTCCCCCGGGGCCATTCTTCTCCCTGCGTTCTTTGTCCGGGTCACAGCCGTTTTCCAAAATCCTCCCTGGGATGCTCCCCCATCACTTCAGGGGGTGCTGGCCTTTGGGGAAAGGTCTTGGGCTTCCCAGTGGTAAAGCTGTGGGTGCCTGCCACACAGGTGACTCGGGTTCAATGCCTGGGCTGGAAGACCCCCTGGAGAAGGAAATGGCAACACACTCCAGTAATTTTGCCTGAGAATCCCATGTGTGGAAGAGCCTAGTCGGCTACGGTCCATGGGGTCGGGAGGAGCTGGACACAACTAAGTGACTTAACAACAGGGGCTTTTAGGCTGTGTCTGTAACTCCTCTGTTGATTAGTCAGGGGATGAATTTAAGGATTACTTTATAATGAAAACTCGATAAATGGTACAGACAAAATCACTGCCTTCCACCCAGATGAAGGCCGCCTGTGGGCCTGGCCCCCTGGTCCTGCTTTGGGTTCAGCAATGTTTTGTCCAGGTCTGGGTGGCTGTAATGTCGTTGGAGCCTCCAGGTGTTTCCGTGGGCCTGCGGGGACCTGACCAGCCGGGGACACAGACCCCTGAGACCCCAGCAGATTCCTGCAGACCCCAGACCCTGAGCCCCAGCTGGTCTCGCCCCAGCCGGTCAGCATGTGGACGCTAGCCCTCTGGCCCTGGGCGGACCCCCGCCGTGTGCTTGTCCTGCCACCAGGGGGCGCGATCTCACCCCCGCCCACACCTGCGGTCCAGAGCATCTTCCCGCTTATTTTCTCATCAGTGGGGATGGGCCCTGCTGTTAACCAGGGTCTTTCCAGAGCTGGGGGAAGGAGGTCCTGGGAGCAGGAGAAACTTGGCAGCAGGCACGGCCAGGGCCAGAGTCCACCCTGGATGCAGTCCTCCTGAGTCAGAGCAGGGCTTGGATGCAGCACCTGAGGACCAGGGGTGCCGATGAGGGTCAGGGACAGGGCACCCAGAGGCCAGCGGAGGCAGGGCCACTTCCTCGGGGCCTGGCTCTGGTGGCCCAAGGTCCAGGAGGCGGTCTGAGCCACGGAGGGACAGGCAGGGCAGGGGTCTGCGGGCGTGGACCGGCCTGGCACAGGGCAAAGGAGCAAGGCCCTGCTTCAACCCCACTGCCCTGCCTGTCCCTTCCCGCCCGGGGGCAGGCCAGCCCCGTCCACACGGAGGGACGGGGCCAGATGAGAACGCGCGTCACCTCGGGGCCAGGGCTCCGCTCCTGGGAGGAAGGGGTCACGGTACTGGCCTCTCCGAGTTCTCTGCCCAGAGGACCAGCCTGTCACAACGGCCGGATCCAGACGGTCTTGCTTGCAGCCCTGCTCCCACCCTGACTGTCTGCAGACGCAGAGCTCGCAGCACCAGGGTCACCCACGGATTCCCCTTGGCCTCTGCTTATCCACGCGGTTCCTCACCCTCCTCAAAGTCAGCTCCTCTTGTGAGAGACGGGGCCTAGCAGATGACAGAAGAGCAGAGGGACATAGTCCCAGCGCCCTCGCAGGGAAACTGCAAGGCCCGTGGCTTTTCGTCCCTCTCACTGGGCAGTCCCGGTCACTGCGGACCCCACTTGACAGATGGGGAAGCTGGGGGCCAGGGAGGCCGCCTGACTTCCTGAGGCTCTAGGTGGGCAGGGAAGCAGGGTGGGGTGGGCTCCTAGGCAGTGTGGTCCCACGAGGCTGCACCTGGCACCCGTAGGCCCGTCACCCCTTCAGGCATGTCCCGCAGCTTCTGCTCACGGGAAGGCTGTGCCCACAGTGCTCAGGGCTGATGGTGGGGGCAGAGCTTGCAGGCACCTTCCCTGGGGAGTAGGTGGTAGGAGGTGAATATAATGAGCTTGCGATGTGGCTGCACTAGGTGAGGATGGTCCCCAGTCAAAGGACGGGTGTTCTCAGGAGAGAAATGGAGACTTGAGGTGCAGACACGGGGGAGAGAAGCCGTGTGAGAGCTCAGGGGGCCCCAGGAAGCTGGACGAGGCCGTGGGAGCTCCCCCAGAGCTGGCGGGGGAGCGCAGCCCTGCCGACACCCTGCTGGCAGACTCTGGACCCCAGAGCTAAGAGAGAGCTCATGCCTGTTTTCCAAGCATCTGGCCGACGCAATGAACAACTCTGGGAGGCGGTGAAGGACAGGGCGGCCTGGCGAGCTGCAGATCATGGGGTCGCAGAATCAGACACGCCTGACTGAACAACAGCAACAGTTACAGTCACTCTTTCCAGCATCCGTGGAGAACCAGCAGAGGCAGCAAAGGTGCACAGAGTCTCAGGCCAAGGACCCTGCCCGGCACGTTCCGCTGACACGGGGAAGGGGGCTTTGCTGTTTCTCAGGAATCATGTGATGGAAAATCATGAACTAAAGAGAGGGCAAAGCCACCACACCAAGGAGGTTATTTTAAAAATAAGTAAACACGTACACCCATAGGGGAGAAAAGGCGCAGACAGGAGCCAGGAAGGGGCCACGTGCCCAGGACCTCACCTGTCCTGGCAGGGGGGCTCCTGGCCCCAGAGGCCCCACACTGAGCACCTTCTCTCTCTACCTGCTCCTCTGACCTGCTCCACCCTCCACCCACCAGAACCATGGGCTGCTCTGGCTGTTCCAGAGGCTGCGGCTCCAGCCGTGGGGGCCGTGGCTGCGGCCGTGGGGGCTGTGGCCCGTGTGACTGCTCCCCGTCCCGCTGCTGTGTCCCAATTTGCTGCCAGGGCAGAACCCGAGGTGCCGGCCGAGGACCTCAGGGGAACCTGCTCCCCCAGGGCGTGACCAGTGCCCTGTCCCAGTCCTGGGTCTCCCGCACCCGGAGCACTGTCTCCTGAGCTCCGAGGACGGGAATGGCCCTGTCGCGTCCTTGGTCTCTCATGCGACCCCTCGCTGTCGCAAGGAGTCTCCTTCCCCAGCCGGGAATCTGACAGCCTCAGAGCTCTAAGGACCTGAAATCTCCAGCAAGCCCTCACCGGTCCAGCCCAGATGGGACCCCTGCCCCTGTCAGCCTTTCTCTGCACCTGCCCCATCTGAGCCAGCGTCGCAGCAGAGCTCAGAACTGGGGGGAACGGAGTGAGGGACTTTCGAGCCCTCACTGTGGTTCTGGGCAGCAGACGCTTCTCACCCCGCGTCCTGCCTTCACGTTCTGAGTGCCCACAGCATCTCCGGCCCCCCTCGCCCTGGGGACGCAGCCATGAGGAAGACGGAGACCCCTGCCTGGGGGTCAGCGTCTGTGGGGCGGGCTCCCCCAGTCCTGCGGCCACCCTGGGGGCTGGTCCTCCCGGCAGACGAGCCCCAGGCTCTGGGCACACAGCTGGGCGAGCCGGGTGGAGGGACACAGGCGAGGGATGGTGTCCCATCTGCCTGCCTGTCCTGCCCGCGACCGTGACAGGACTCCCGGCCAGCACCCAGGGCCTCCGTGTGTACAGGCTGCTGGGAGGGCAGAGTTGAGGCAGAGTCTGGGGTGGGGTCGTGCGCACGCTCTGCTCCCGGGGTTGGAGGAGACAGCTCGTGCTTGAATACTCTGACACCTCCTCGCCCGGGGGCCTGGATGGTGGGAGGGGGCTGCCCTGTGCCTGCCTGGGGCCCAGGCCCTCCCGGGCCCACGGGGCACACAGGCTGGTGGGGGCCACTCTGGGCTGCAGCCGGGGGCTTCCTTCCTGGGCCCCACAGCCTCCAGGTCTGGGGAAGGTCAGGTCCCCGGTGACCATCACACTCGGGCCTGCAGAGCCCCACACCTCCTCCAGGTCGGCCTCAGGCCCCCATTCCCGCCCCTCCTGCTCAGCGAGGCCTCGTGGGAGCCATGTCACAGGAAAGGCTGGCATCCCCAGGGCGGTGGGGCTCCTCGGTCACTCACCAGTCTTGATACTTTTGATGCCAGTGTCCCGGGCTGGGCTTCAGCCCTGCCAAAGCCTCTGCCCACTGTCAGTCACCCCATGAGGAGGTGGTCCAGAGTGGGAAGGGGCTGGGAGCCCATCTCCCCACCACTTCCTCCTGCCTGCAATGCTTTCTGCCGATCACCCATCCCTCCTCTCTCCTCTCAGTAGCCCCGTTCAGTCCTGGGGTCACCATGATAAAGACTGAGATCACCCCACATCCTTCCTCATCGGGCCTTCTCCCTGGCCCCAGGGCCAGTGAGGATCCGGGGGCGGGGGCAGTGCCCCCTGCTAGCCCCTGGGAGGACCCCGCAGGCAGTGCCCACTTCTTCCTAGGCCACCTCTGACCCCCAAGTGTGGGCATCCCCCCGTCCCCAGGGACCAGTCTCGGGCAGCGGGGAGGCCTGGCCTCCTTCCGCCCGCTCTCCTTGGGCAGGTACTTTCCCAGCCAGCCGGAGGTGCCCTGTCCTTTGACATCTGATTTATGGCTTCCCTGGACATGGAACCATGATTTAAGAATAATAACAGTAATAGCTAACTTTTACTGAGCGTCACGCGCCAGGTTAACCGTTAATGGAGTTAAATGCTCTGTATACTCTCATGTGTCAGGTTAAATGTTAACCGAGTTATACGTTAACCGCTTTATATACTTCATCTTAAATGTATAATTAAAAAACAAGGGGTCAAGAGGTAATGGAATTTGCCCCAAGTCACGGAGCCGGCGAGTCCAAAGCCAGGGTCCAAACAGTGTCACTTTGTTCCCAAGGCCCGATTCCCTTGGATGCTCTTGACTTACCCAGAGGGTGTAGATTATTTCAGAGCAAAAGTTCACCAGGAATGCAGCCTCCCACGGGAAGAAAGAGCAGAAGGACAATGAGATCCTTGCGTCCAGGTCTGGGGCGGTGGGAGCCCGGGAGCCCAGCTTTTGCTCCGAACACCCAGCTCTTTCCAAAAGGGAAAGAGGGGTCTTACCGGCCTTGTCCCCTGGGGGAGGGCGCAGAGCAGTTTGCAGAAACCCTTCCATCCTCTAAAGAGGGGAGAATCACACGGGGTGGTGGGCCCCCTAGGACAGAGGACTCCCTGAGGCAGGGGTCCCAGTGCCTGCCTCAGTGGGACTCAGGGACCTGTTCTCAGACCTGCCTGGGATGTTCTGCAGGCCACATCTAAAAGCTTGAGTAATTCAAGCACAGTCAGCAGGTTTGAAGTTCAAGTTCAGGGAAAGCATGCCCGGTCCTGTGTAAGTGAGGGTGGGACCCATCGCATCCCAGCAGCGTGGCTGGGCCACGGTGCCTGGCTGTTGGGACAGATGTTATCTGGATGTTCCCGTGAGGGTGTCTGTGGGTGAGACAAGCATTTGACTTGGTGGATGTTGAGTGAAGCAGGTGGTGGTCTATGAGGCAGGTGGGCCCCGCTCAATCAGCTGAAGGTCTGAGCCAAATAAAAGGCCAACCTCCCCCAGCAAAAGGAAATTCTGCCAGGGTGGCCTTTGGGTTCTCCTGCTGGCTTGCCAGCACACTGCCTCCCAACTCACACTGCAACCCCATCCTGTATCTGCACCCCTGACCGCTCTCAGTGGGGGACTCGCCAGGCCTCCGCGATGGCTCGCCAGTGCCTTAAAGTGGGTGTCTTTCTGGAGACACACGTCCTGTCGGCTCTGCCGCGCGGGAGGAGCCGACCAGCTGACAGACCGCTGGCTGGGGGACGCTGCCCACAGAGGCCCGTCCGCACGGAGGTTCCAGGCCCTCTGAGAAATGCCGCTGAGGGTGGTGGGGCCCAGAATTCAGGGAAGACCTCAAGCAAGCAGTCCTGGGAAGATGCCTCCCCGTCAGAAGTCCTCTGGCCCTGAACCCGGGCAAGGCCGCACACGTCCTGGGACCCACGCTGAGGCCTGGGCCACCAGAGGTGTTGCTGTGTGTGTGTTGGCCTTCTGGCGAGAACTACGCTGGCCAGCCGGCTGGTGGGGGGCTGTTGGGTAACAGACACCATTCAACAGTAGAAACTCCACATGGATCCTGTGGGCCTGACCTCAAAGGCAGCCCGCGTCGGCCGCCGGGGGGAGGCCGAGGGCCCCTGCCAGGCCCCGGGAGCCTGGCCCCTCTCTGCTCCGCTGGCCCGGAGGAGCTGGTCCCGCCGGCCCTCACCTGTGGGACGTGCGGCTCCTGACCTTGAATTCATCCTTGGAGTCCTTCCAGCTCTGGCACACCAAAGGATGCAGGGCCTGGGGAGTTCCTTGGGCTGAAGAGAAAATGGGATTGTTGGGTAGAAGAAAGTCCTTCTCAGGCCATGGATGACTCACGATCGCCAGGCTGGTCGTCATGGGCCAAGTGAGCGCTGCTGGAGGCGTCTGTGAGGGGCAGTGGTCAGGCCCGCCCCGCTGTTGCCCCCAGACCCCCTGCCTCGGCTCCTTACACTGGAAAAAAAGAAAAGAAACCCACAGGAAAGGGGACGGACTGGCACAGACCTCTGTAACTGCACACGCTTGCGGCCTGCTACAGCCGGCACTCAGGTGGGGACAGAAGCTTCCAGCACCCAGGGACCCCCTGCGAGCTGCTGTCCCCGCGGCCCCCCGGGGCCCACTCCCAGTCCTCCCGCCGAGCGAGTCCTGCTGGCCACGGGCGGTCACACCAGCGCCACACACTGCATGCCTCCCTCGAGTCCTCTGGCTCCAGGTCCTTTCCACCCAGCTGTGCTGGCGGTTCCGTCCACGCCATGCAGGGGCCCGGGGTCCACTCCCCACTGTGCCGCCCAGCGTCCCCCGGGCAGACGTGCTGCTGCGTCCTCGTGCACACGGGGACTTTGCTTCCAGGAGCTAAAAGGGAGGCGGGGTGCACGGTGGGTGGTCCGAGGCGGCACCCCCAGGGCCGTCTGGAGGAGGGGGCAAGGAAGTGTTCCTCCAGAGTCAGAGCTGCAGGTGACAGAGCGTCTGCCCGAGGGAGCGCAGTCCAGGCCCCTCACAGAGCGAGGCCCTGAAACGAAGAGCGTGCGGCCAGGAGTCAGAACAAATGAAGAGAAAGAACGGCCACGGACCTGTGCTCATTCCCTCAAACTCAGCCGAGCGCTAGCACATCAAATCCAGCTGTTTTATATGCATATATGTAAGTGTGTGTATATGTTAGATGCAGTTATATGCACGATAGGCAACAGATCTATGAGTATGTGTAAGTCGGTGTGCGTGCGTTTTGTGGTAGAACAGGACGAGGGAGGGAAGTAGAGATTGTCATGAGAACTTCTCTGAAGATTAAATACTGGGACTGCCCCTCAAAAATATATTTCAAATGTGTATAATATATAAAATGCATAGTATGTATAAAATATATACTTTATACCTATCATCTGTCTCGCCTATCTACCTGCGCATGTACCCATCTATCTGCGTGTCACCTGTCCACACCTTCCTATCCACCTGTCAATCATCTGCCCCCCACCTGCCCTCCGTGCGGCCTCCTGCAGCCCCGCCGCGGCGCGCCCAGCCCAGGCCTCCGCCACCAGCAGAGCCGCGGTCCCTACCGCTGCCACCAGGCGGCGCCCGAGGGCCGGTCACGGCCCCGGGGCGTCGGCGCGCTGGTTTCCTCCTCTCTGCTGCCCTGTGGCTCGCCTTGTGGGGACCAGGAGGCATTTGAGTCTTCTCCCCCATGGACATTCTATGTCTCGCCCACGCAGCCTGGAGGGGAGCTTTGCGGGGGGAGCCAGGAGGCTCTTGAGTGGCCTCCCCTCGTTCCCGGCTTTAGGTGGGGCCCCGAGGGCCTCGCTCCCTCGCAGCGGGACGGGGCAGGACATCGGACGCGGCCCCGGGGACCCCCCGCCCGCTGCGGGGAGGGCAGGCCCGGCCCACCGCTCCCCTCCTGCTGGGGTGAGAGAACCCGGCCCGAGAACGGGCTGCGCCTGACCCTCAGAATCTCCAGGGCCTGCGAAAACCTGGCTCTTTCGACAGCAGAGGTTTTCTTGTTTCCTTCATTTGCCTTTTAAAATCACTCAAAAATGTTTCAAAACTCACCAAAGAAATTCGAAGACACTGTTTGAAAATCCAGAAATAAAATGTTTTACGTATTTTTCAACAAATGACATTGGAACAATTGAATGCCAATAGGAAAAAAAATGGATCTTGACCTAAGCCTCTTACTTTATACAAAATTAACTGTGTATCAATCATAGAT